ATCTGAACCGGCAGTGGACCTTCTCTGGACCTCCCGAAGTCCACAACCAGTTCCTTAGTCTTTGAGGTGTTGAGTTGCAGGTGGTTTGTGTGACTCCATGCGACAAAGTTCCTCACCAGACTTCTGTACTCCTCTCCCTGATCATCCCAGATACACCCCATGATGGCTGCTGTCTACAAACCAAACATCACAGCAGGTCTATCGTCTTGTCTTCATCCACACCGCGCTGCCTGCACTCCCTTAGTCCTCATGTGTACTGTCCATTGCTTTAGATGGTTGACAGGTTTAAACTCATTTACCTTCACTGACTCCACTCCTTGCATATTCATTGTTAATTATATATCATATTGTAATGTTGTGTAAATCAAAGCATTTCTGTGAATGCAACATCACTATTCAAACCAACAAACCTCATTTGAAACAGTGGTTTAACTTCAAAGATCAGATTTGTTTCAGTGAATAATCTTAACATTTAATATGTACAATAATTAGTTTGGAGTGATTATTCAATCAAATGTTATTCCAGAATTATCTGGGTAGTGACATTTTGAATGGAAAAACCAGTGACACAACCAAAGGAGAAACAGAGGACTCCTCCTTATCTGACCTTTTCCTATGTGAAGTCTGTGGACAGTGAATATATCCAGTGATGATGATAGCCTCCAGCAGTGTTTCCACAGGTTATGAAAGAAGATTATTTTGTGCACATGTTTACAAATAAATAAAAACCCCATTGCTATTTCTTTATTGTTCTGAAAGTGGTACTATGGCTCATTGTTGCTTGGCGCTCATCTCATCTCCACTTGGACCCTCACTGTTTTCTCTGTCACTGACCTCATTGTGTTCAGGCCTTTTTCTCCAGAGGGCTCTGAAATGGGCTTAGAGTTGTTTGGCATTTTTAGCTGCCTAAACTGCCACGCTGATTCACTTCTGCTGCATACAAAAGGATGGAGATGGAAATGTATGAATGAGTGAAGAGGGTGTGTTGAAAATATGAAAGGAGTAGAGCACTTTGAAGAGCTGTTGAATGAGGGAAATGAGAGTGAGAGGAGGACAAATTAAGGGAAGTTAGTTAGTGCATAGGATGAGTGAAGGGAAGCGAGGCCAGCTATGAAGAAGATGAAGAGTAGGAATGATGGTTGATTCAGATGACATACTTGTGGAGGTATGAAGATGTCTTGGAGAGACTTGGAGAGAGAGCCGTGGACTTTTTTTCCAGATTGTTTTTTGTTTGGGATGGAGAAGTGTGTTAGCACTGACTTTCAAGAAGAAGCACAATGTTCAGACCTGTAGTAACTACAGAGGGATGATAAGTTATATCATGAAGCCATGGGAAAGAGTTGATGAAGCTTTGTTAAGCAGAGGTGGTGATCAATGAGAAGTAGCATGGCCTCATGCTGAGAAAGAGCACCACAGATGTGATGTTTACTATGACAGTGCTGATGGAGAAATACAGAGAAGCTCAGAAGGAGTTGCACTGTGTATTTTTGTAGATCTAGAGAAAGCATTTGATAGGGTGCCAATAGGAATTCGGGAGTGGCAGTGAAGTATCTGAGGGTGGTGGAGCACAGTGAGACAGGGGTGAGGTATGTGGAAGGCGTGACCTTTGAGTTCAAAGTAGGGTTGGGATGACATCTGGGATTGGCTCTGGAGGTTTTCTGGTTTGCAGCAGTGATGGATGGGCTGAAAGATGAGGTCAGGCAAGAGTGGACAAATATTAATGTTTGCAGACAACATTGTGATCTGCAGTGAGAGGAGAGAGTAGGTCTAAGAGAGACTAGAGAGGTGAAGGTATGCTCTGGAGAAGAGAAAGGAAAGTCAGTAGATGCAAAACAGACTATGTGTGTGAATGACAAGGAGGCAGGTGTAACAATATAGATACAAAGAGCAGAGGTAGTGAAGGTGGACGAGTTTAAATACTTGGGGGTCAAATGTCCAAAGCAATAGATATTAGACCAGAGAAGTGAAATACAGTGCAGCTAAGGTGGAGTGGGTAAAGATGAGTGCCAGGGGTGATTGGTGACAGAAGGATAGCAGCAGGAGTAAGAGGAAAGGTTTACAAGAGGGTAGTGAGGCCTGCTATGATGCATGGTTTGGAAACAGTGCCCTTGACAAAAAAAAAAAAGATATACTGCACAAAGGATGTTGAATATTGACCTGCCAGGCAGGAGGAGTAAAAGAGGAAGGGCACAGACAAGATTCATGGATGTAGTGAAGGAGGGCATGAGAGGGTTGGTGTGACAGAGGATATTAGATATAGGGTGATGGAGGAGGAGACAAAATGACCACGCAAATGTGGACCCTCTCTTATTTAAGCCAGGAGAATATAAAACTTTAACTATATATTGTGACAAATAAGTGTACAGTGTGTAAAAGCTGCCCACACATTACAGTCAATAATTTAAAAACAGCATTTAGGTTCCATCCATTTTATTGAATTTAAAGACTTTCAAACAAACTTGTACAAATTGCAAAACAGATTTTGGTAACACCTCATTTTATTCTTATTATCATTATTAGGAAATAAATTAAGTGAAATGAAAGTAAACAATGTGAACAGACAACATAAAAATACAACAAAGAGCAAAACAAAGTAGAAAGAATGAAAGAAAAGAGGCAACTGTTTTTCACAAAATTTCAACTGCACCTCATGTGCAGCACACTAAAGCTGACTCACCAACCAAGCTTATTGCTGGCCAGTGTCTAAGTACCTTCTTGTAGCAAAGGACACCCCATGTGTGGACTGCTAATATGATGAAGCTCCATCCTGAAGTGTCTAATTTGAAATCGTATCATTTTTTTTTTAACTGTAGTACTGTATTTACACACCAGGTGGCAACACAATCGTACAGTGATGCTAAAACTGCCTGCTCCGCCACCCACTCCCAACTCTATCAGTTTATCCTGGACGGCTGGCATTTTCCCACAAAGCTTCTAAAAAGCTTTGTGTTTGTTTTTACTGTGCTACATGCACGTTGAACTAAACACTTGTAATATTGTGGGGCATTTTGTCAAGCTTTTTTTTTTTAAAACAATGTAAGAGCTTATTTAGAATCCTGTGAAATTGCAGCCAGTGGTTTAACATTTCTTATCTTTATTCTCTCCATACAAAGATCCAGCTTTGCAGAGCACAATCTCCTTATATTAGCTGCTCCCATTTAAAACCCACCACTGTCATAAATGCTTCTGCAAGAACTTAACCCACCACAGACATTCAAACATTCAAAAAGTCTCTCTCGCTCACCTTTCACTATAAATCAAGATCTTTTTCTTTTTTTTAAATGAAGGCAAATGATCCTAATCAGAACAAATATTAAATACACCAAAGAAAAGGTTAATGCCAGCTTTCTGTGGAGAGCGGCATGTTTTTGTGTGGGAGTGGAGCTGTGGCGCAGGGAGGCATTAACAGAGTGGAGAAATCGATGCCCAGAGGGCGTTGTTTTCGGGTAGAGCGTGTCACTGCCAGCAGCATCTGATTTAGCCTCTACATTTCATTCAAGTCGGTCTGTTCACATTCTCTGCTACTCATTGGGAGTTGCGCTTTCTCATTGGTTAAATATATAAAATGGGCTTGTGCACAACAACCACAAAGTGCACTGCACATGCTGTAACGAGTTTAAGATGTTAAACTGGATTAAAAGAAATGTTATTTGTGTCTAGGGAACTATCATTGCACAGAAACCGCAGTCTGAACTGAAACACACGGAAAAGATTCTCTCGGCTTTTTCAGAGGTCAAGGCAAAATAACGTTGAACCTTCATTTTGTTTTGAAAAAGATTTATGGTGACTTGGTCATGTTGCCGCTCTAAACAGAGTAGCCATTCCTTTACACAACACAGAAGCCCAGAAAACCAGAGAAGAAAGAAAACAAAGCATTAGAAATAAAACCACCAAAAAAGATTATTTGTTAATAATATCAAAAATACCAACAAACAGGCAAAAAAAGAGAAAAAGATTGGTCACAGCAAATTTATGTACACGTACACATTAAGAAAAGAGCTGTCAGTGGAGTTGACGGGGGGTTGGTTGAGTGGGGAAGGAGGAGAAAAAAAGATTCGGGCAATTAGATAAGCCCTGTATCTTCACTATACAGGGGAGTTACAGAGGGGTGCCATGACGGCAGACGGGGGTTGTATGAGGTGAGAAGGAGGAGGGAGAGCCACGGTTGTATGTTCACCTCTTCTTGGGGGCTTGGGTGGTGCGGGGTGGGGTGACGGGCCGGCCAGAATTTACACCACCGTACTGATACTTGGCCTTCTTCTCTGAGGGCTTTAGGATCTTTAAAACACAAACACAGAGAAATGTGTCACTGTCAGTTCACACACACACACACACACACAAACACCCGAAAAAGGCAAATGGTTTTCACACTACCTGGAAGGAGCACATGAGGGATTCATCAACACTCATCATACCGCCTGCATTATCAAACTCCCCGCAGTAGTTTGGAGCAGAGAAAAGTGTGACCAGTTGGCGTTTGGCAAAGAACTCGTATCCATCCTCCACAACCTGTTAAAAGAAAGATGACATTATTCCAGCGCCTACAAAAAAATCAATACCAAGAAACAGGCCTTCAGCTAGTTTCACAATCCAAGTTTGCTATCAAGGTTGAGTGTACGTAACCACCTACATCTGAAATCAATAAGAAAAACCAAATGCAGAGCTGAAATAACCGTGGGTAACTTAGGAACCAGTCTCCTGATTGTTCAGTTGTATGATCAGTACTTTGAGAAAGTCTTATTTGTGACAATCAACAGGCAACAGTGTCATAAGTGGATGACTCTTTATACTACAAGTGTTGCTCCTGTTTACCTTTCTCCATGCACTCCACTCCACTGGTAGGAGATCAAGTTAAGCAAGAGACATCTATTCTATCTCCAGGCCGTAAATGAATAAAGTGCCTCGTCATAGTTTGCATAATAATATTTTAAACAAGAAAAAATATTATAAACTGAGTGCCTGTATGTACAATACATGGGAGGAATACAGAGAACGAATGGGAGCAGGAAATTAGAAAGCTTCTATTAATAGATGTTTTCTGCTCTGTTTTCTGTGTCCTCTCATCAACAACATTAATTAAAATTGAGGATGGACATAACTGAAGCAAATGGATAAACAATTTTAAATCACAGAAAAAAAGAAAGAAAAAGGCTAATCAATATCCTAGCTTTGTGCCTACAGGAACTTTCACTTCACAATCAGACTCGTACCCAATTCCACTCCCAATTACCTGGTGGGCTCTGCAGATGAGGTCCAGGTCATGCCGGTTTAGGAACTTACTGACCACATCTGCTCCGAAGGTGAAGGAGACCCCGCGGTCGTTCTCTCCCCAGCCTTGTACATCCTTGTCTGGATCTGACCACAACAGGTCACACAGCAGACCTGGGATACACACAGGTAGAAGATAGATGGACCCGAGGAACACAAAGCGGGGAAAAAAGTGGAAAGGAGAGAATAAACAGACAAATGGAAAAATCTGCTAAAACCTTGGCTGATGTAACAAAGATGATCTACTGATGAAACAGTCATACACTCAGGAAGAGAGAGGCTGTTTTTTCCATTTAAAAATAAACTTAAATTCCTGGGAGGAATCCAGAGGAAGTGAACATGTTCAGTGTCAAGTACGAGCATACATCTAAGAACATGCAGGTACACACAGTACCTGTGTCGGGCACGTCTGTGGGCCTCATGATCCTGCGGATTTGCTCCATCGACTGCAAGTCCGGTGACAGCCCTGGAACAAAAAGGCAAAAAGATTGCTTTTGATTAAAGACACTATAGAGCTATTTCAAACACGGGTTAATAAAAAGCTGCAGTTCAGATTCAGGGCAGCGAGTGTCGACGGTAGCTCCCTCACCTCCATGGCAGCAGAAGATTTTCTCATCAATAATAGCAGCAATGGGGAGGCAGTTAAAGCAGTCAGTGAAAGTCTTCCACAACTTGATGTTGAACCTGCGCTTGCCTGGTGAAAGAAATCAAAAGATATTCTCAGAACTGAACTGCGCCTGTGTAAAGCCTCAGTTTATTAGTACTTACACTCGTCGTAGAACCCATAGATGCGGTTGATGGAAGCACACTCATGGTTGCCCCTGAGCAGGAAAAAGTTCTCTGGGTATTTGATCTTGTAGGCAAGCAGAAGGCAAATGGTTTCCAGGGATTGTTTCCCTCTGTCTACATAATCACCCAGGAAAAGGTAATTTGCCTCTGGAGGGAAGCCACCATATTCAAACAGCCTCAATAGGTCTGTGTACTGCCCATGAATATCACCTGAAACAGAGGTAAAAGGGATGTTAATTTGACAGTTTAAAGGCAGGATGTTGTAGTTAAACAGAGACAGGCAGGAGGAGAATTCTGCCTAGAGGGAAAAAAAGTGTAGAAATATTTTTAATGCTGTGTTTTTCTACCTCCTGGCTCCTACATGCACAACTCACTGAAGTTGTTTGGATTTTAAGATAAGATCTGCAAGACATGTAGTTTGGTTGGGACATAAGACTGAGCCTATATTAGGACTGCGTGAGCAAGCCAAACAACACACACACACACACACACACACACACACACACACACACACACACACACACACACACACACACACACACACACACACACACACACA